AAAATCTCCTAATCCAAACAGAGATGGCAGCCGGAAACGCCATACGTCTGTATGCAATGTGTACAAGTTACAGTAGTCTACATGCTACACTGTAGAGATGGCCATTATCTGTATCCGCCCAACCAACTAAACTATCTGTATTCATATCTGAACTGGCTTAAAGCAGAGGTGGGTGTGTGAGAGCTGAAGTGCGTGGGACGACCCGGGAGTTGTTCATTTAACCCTGAAATCCATATGGGTTGATCAGAAGTTGCTATATTTATTAGAACACTATCTAGAGAACAGCCTCAGAATTGACCTTCAGAATAATGTTTTGGATCACAAGAAAAACTATTTTAAGACTTTTTTTATATAGAAAAGTTGCTATATTTACAAGTATGGATACTGACAGATTTTACTCTGATAATACTGGTAAAAAGTACATTATCTGTACCAGACACTCGCTGCAGTAGAGTACTCGCTCAAACCTAGTACACTGTATTATTTTCAGAATAATGTGTTAATATTTTTTCTTGTGTTGTACAAAACAAGCAAGGAGCTATGTAATATAGTCCACTATAGTTCACTTGGGTAAACAGGTTAAACATCTTGTTCATCAAAGTGTTGTTCAAAGGGTCTTTGAGGATTCTGGAAATGCCTTCAGAACAGCAGTATGCATTGTTAAAAGACCCCCCACCCCCGAAAACAAAAAACAAAAACCCCATATGCACAGCGATGTCACTCGAATGGAACGGCGGTACACGAGAGGCACAAACTGAGGCTGGACTTCAGGCTGTAGGTTTGAGGAGCCTGAATGATTTGCAGATTACCTGCAAGATCAGAGGGAAACATTTACCAGCAAGAACCTGGTTTTCATCATTCACTGTGTTTCTGTGCCCCCTCCTCCTCCCCCTCCAGGATGGTTTGGTTTGTGGTTTGAATTTGACCATATTAAAACAGCCCTCAGTAAGGTTTAATTACAGCCGGACAACAGAGATGAGATGTTGTGTTTTTCTGTACATGTAAATAGATTGAAAAAAGAGTGAGGTAGATGGATGGTTGAAGGGATAACAAAACCTTCCTCCAAAACGGCAAAAGATCATCAAAAAAATCTGAAGGAAAAAAGGGGAATTTGTACAGTGATTTCACAAAAAAAGAATATAAATAACCAAGGAACATCTGGGCTGGGAATGAAAACTTTGAGGTGAATGAGCCTTTAATTATTCCACTATTCCATGATCGTCTTCATATTTTAGTGCGATGGGTTTCTCCCATGAACCTAAAGCAGTCTGTTTATGCTCAGTTAGTTCTCTATCAGTTTTAATAATATTATAATCATTTTAATGTGCTCTTCTCATCAATGTCTCTCAGTGCTGTAAGATAATTCCACTCCTTTCTCAAAACAATTTAACTTCAGCAATCGTCTACAAACACGTTAATATGTTGGAAAAAGATAAATAATGTGGATTGCTCCAGCAGCATACAGAAAACCACGCTAGATTCAAGAGAGGAGGATTAGCAGGAAGTGAAGTTATCCTACAGACAGGGGTTTTTTGCACTTGCCTTTAGAGATGTGAAGGCTCGCTGCTACATTTAAATAAATCGTTTTGCATTGACTTTGTACCTTTAAACCAGTGTTATTACACAGCACAAACATATGGAAAACTGGAACTGACAAGATTTAATAAAAGGTTATCAGAAAGGTCAAAAATAGAACTGTTGTCTAAATGATTAAAATGGAGAGTAAACAGAAACATGAAACATATCAATACTAAAATGTAATTCATTTCTCGCCACTATTCTTTTTCAATAGCTCCTTAGTTTTCCTAATTTCATTCACTCGTACAACTCACACAGTCAGGCTCACTTACCTGATCGAACTGATAGCTACCTGGCTGCAGCTAACTTTAATCAGAAAACTATGCTAACAACCTTAACTGGCTTCTTTGTCTTTAAGTGCATGTCTCTTGTCCAGAGTGGAAAAAAGTCCATCGAAGTAGGCAGCACAGTATATGGATGATTAACATTATGTGCACTAAGTGGGGTGCTTTTATGATAAAAGTCAGCTTCAGCTAGGTAGCTAGCTAAAACAAATGAACAAATCAGGGAAATTGGGAACAGACAAATAAATGTGACCAAATATGATTTATGTATGTACTCACTTATATTCTGACTTGTCTGATAACATTTTACTACATTTTGCCAGTTTTGGGGCTCCATTAAATAAGTTCAAGGATCCATCCATCCAAACCCCCTTCTGGTCTCAGAAACACTGCTCTTGTCCAATAATAACAGAAAATGAAATAGCAGAGTCAGAGGGACATAGAATCAGACACACACACACCAGACTGGATGTCTCAATGTATTAACAGCACAAAAAAAAAAGAGAGAGAGAAAAAGAAAAGGAACGTAGAAAAGGATTAAATTTTTCTCTTTGACCTGAGATTTAGTTGGGACTCAGCAGTGAAGCCTGACTCTGAGTATGAGTATATACCCTAGAGGACAGAGGTTGAGGCGTCCCGAGAGAACACAAGAGCATCGATGGTTACGGGTACCATCGCTGTCCTCTAGTCAGATGGGAGGGGAAGTTACCGGTGTTTCAAAACACAAGGCAAATTGTCGTACCTTTACGCGAACACAGAAACGAAACCAGCTCAGATACACTTTACACAATTACAAGCATTAAAAAATGGACTGTAGTGAAAACGTTCGTAGTTCATCTCTTTTTATATATATCTATATCTATATATATAGATATAGATATATGTATATATATATAGATATTAACTATATTACAACCACAAGAGAAATAAAGGAATAGCAGCTTCTTTCTGTACATGATGAATGTCTCCAACCGTATAAAAGTTAAAAAAGTGACACATAAAACTGGTTGCGTACATAAATGCTCTGCCCACGTAGAGATGTTGTAAATGTTGGAGACTAATGACTAGTCTAAAAAAATACCTGTTTGTATACAACAACGATGCCTCTGAACTCAGAGCAAACCCCAATTAAGAGACGTTATAGATATAGTGTTCATATTGGTTTTCCACTTTACGCTCTTCCCTCCGCAGTCCTTGCTTCAAGGTTGTTTTTTTTTGCTTCTTCATTGACTGGATTTGGCTTTTAAACCATAACAGAACAGCACTTTGTGAGAGGATGTGGCTCAATTTCAGATAAACTGATGTAACCAAAGTCCATGACTTCAATTTGTGTTGAGTACAGTAGCTGTGGATATCAAACAAAAATAGAAGAGTAGTGTAGGACTGTAGAGGGAAGTTAATATCCCCTTTGATCACAGATTTTAAGAACGGTGTGGTAGCAGATCAAAGTGCTTTTTTTGTTGCCTCCATTTTCAATCTGGTGTGTTTGGAGAATTACAGGGCAGGACTGCAGAAGAGAGAATTTGACAAAAAGTAAAATTTTGGCAACTAATTTGGCAGATTTGACCTTTCTCCCTCTGGTGCTTTGTTTCAGCGGATCGGCTGTTAACCCAGCATTACGCTGACAACCAGCCTGCAGAGCAATGAGACTACTGGACGTCCGATGGAGACCCTGACCTCTCTGAAGTGCTTTTTCATTAGATATGCTTAACAGTTTCACCATAATGCCCGCCCAAAAGCGACCAAAACGCCGGTCATTTATAAAGGCCTACACATTTTGTTTTCCCATTTGGAAATACATATAAAAAAGTAACAAACAACAATATATAAAATAAGTTCAGCCATAAAGAGAGAGGTCTCCCCAAAATTATTATTTTTTTCTTTCTTTTACCATTTTTTGGTCTTCCCACTCAGCAGCAAGGGCAGTGTCACATCTGACAGCCAGCTGGTAGAAACCAAAACTAGAATAATATGGAAAAAAGTGTGTGGAGGTACAGCAGAACATGGACTTGGTGACAGTCTCCACCTTCCTGTGAGTCTTTGCTCCTCACCGAGTAGCTACACCCAGAAGGTGGACATGGTTTTGCTGTAGGAGATAAAAAAACAAAAAAAAACAAAAAAAAAAAAAGAGGCCACACCCACTGAGACTTCTGCAGAGCAGCAGGTGGCAGGGTGTGAGGTCTGGTGGGTGTCTGTCCAATCAGCAGGCAGAGGACTGCGGGAGAGGCATGGCCCGTTCATTTTTGCGTCCGCCGTTCATGTGTGCATACGGCGGCAGTTCGTCCAGAGATGGCAGCACTGAGCCCGATCCGAGCCCTGACCCTGCTGCAAGGCCCGCCCCCGACAGCCCGTTGGCTGCCTGCTGGCCAGAGGGCTGCTTGTCCGTGACAGCGGTGGATGTACAGGGAGATGAGGGGGAGCTGGGGGCTAGCGACGGGGCGGGTGGAGCCTCTGAGCTTGGGGAGGGTCTGTTGGGAGACTGGGGTTTGCTGTGGCTGTGTGGGAAGAGGGCGGTTCCAGAGGAATGTCGTCATGTTGTCCATCTTGTCGCAGGTGCAGCGGCGGAGCCTCGCCGGGCGGCTTGTTATCCGCGCTGTAGAAGAAACTGGCCTCTCCTGAAAATGGCCTCCAGCTCCATCCTTTATGCTGTGATGATCTCCACAAAGGCTGGACGCATCCTAGGATTATACTGGCCAACACATTCGCATCAGCTCGAACCTACACACACACACACACACACACACACACACACACACACAACACACAACACACCACCACACACACAACACACACACCACACACACACGGGTTAGCTCAGTCTGCATCAACAACATGTCCTCCGTGTAGTAATGATCTACCCAGAGGAACTGCACCTTCCTACTGACCAAGCCAATATTTACTTTTGCCAAATGTTTGCTTTTCTGTTGCTAAAACGGCTGTAAGTAACCCCCCCCCCACTTCTTGTTTATGAAGCACAGAAGCTGATGCGGTTTTTCTAGATTAAACCTGGAACTGAACAAGCTGACACCACCAAAGAATGGCAACCTTTATGTTACATCAAATGTACAAACGCTTTCTCTGACAGAAATTCTATCTCATTTTGCAGATAAGTTATTGGCTCTTTGGTTTCCACAGCACTTCTGCAGCTACAAAGCTTACAGTACTTGAACCAAAAAACCCCCCCCCCCCCCCCAAAAAAAAAAAAAAAAAATGCTGTGCCACAACATTTCACCCTGTAATTCAAAGTTTTAACTTTCAGTGCATTGTATGTATGTGCAGATTAACTAAATGATTCTTGGTTCACGCTATTGGATCACTAAATAAAGTACATTTTTATTTTTGGAGTACCAGCGACCCAGCAGGTAAGTAAATCCTGTCTGATCCCAACTATAGCTACGTTGTCAAATATAACATGCAAGTGGTATCAAATATTCTTAATCTGACTCTTGGCATTAAAGAAATAAGCATATTTCCCAAATGTCAAAGTATTGCTTACAAGCTGAGTTGCTTACGCAGGAAAGCCCGTGATCAGAATTAATGTGTCCATCTCAAATCTAATGCAAAGAATACCACATAATGCCATATGACGCTTAAAACAATCATTAACAAGTGTCTTTAGACATATACGTTAATGGACAACACATGTATTCACACTGCTGTTAGAGAATGCCTATGCCTTCACATCTTGTTTCTCACCTCCATGACTTCAACATCTGAATGCTTCCTTCAACGTTTGTGGTCTGGTGGCCCAAATTGTCTGCCACGCCACAATCTTTTAATGTGGGATTTTATCACTCGGGGCTGTTTCATATTAACGAACAAATTAATGGAATGGAGCAGCAGTGGACAAACAGGCGGGGCGTGAGAGCAATCAAAACTGGGGCAAAGCATTACTCTTCACCTGTTTGTGTGAGTAAACATGCTCCACTTGTGGGATTTAACTAGGAAAGTAGGGGAAAGTATTGCAGACCAGGAAGTTTGAAGTGTAGATTAGAAATGTGTGAAATCTGCTGTGTTGTGTTGGTGTCTTACAGCATGTCAGGACAGTTCTGTGTTTTCTCCCAGCAGCCCTCCCCATGACGAACGCGGAGCACCAACTGCTCATTAACAGACCTTTTGGGTGGGCTGTTCTGCCAGAGTTGCAATCTCCCATAATACAACCCCGAACGACCTAACACATGGGGAAGAGAAGGAGGGGGTTAAGTTAGTATGTCTTCCAGTATCACGACCAGACTCCAAACATATTTTTGAAGCAGTAAACACAGAAAATGAAGCCACCATTGTGTGTTTGTTTGTTTGTGTGCACCTGCTTACCAGACATCGAGGTGGTGGTGAAGACTCCGTCTTTCAGAGACTCGGGTGAAGCATCCAGCGGACCGGGGAGCAAACCCTTACCACCTTTGCGGTAGTAATCGGTCTCATAGGATGTCTCTGGTCAGCCAAAGTCTAACACACACAACATAGGGTAACACACAGGGAGGAGGAGATGCATTGACAATGTCTATAAAAGACCCAAAGCCATTTTGATGAATGGTTTTAACCTGTTTTAAAAAGTTAGGTGTAAATGTCCTCAGACTTCTTGTTTTATTGTAGCTTGTTTGTGTTGTATGGGTCCACATATTCCACAGGAGGGGGCGATCTTTACTGAGAATATAGGCCTAGTCATATTATTATAGTAACCATAATCCCCTAACAGATCACTCACTACTGGTGTTACAGACATTTAAAAATGCATTGTGACCATAAATTGTCTCAATGAAAATAAATCTGAGACAGATGTCTTCAGCTCGGGATCTGCCTGATGAAAAACACAGTGACAGAGCTTCTGCCCCTCAGTGGTTCCCTTTACTTGGAGTAAGGTTCCCTGATGACTTGGTCATCCATGATTTTATAAATTCCATGGTAATGAAGCACCATCTCCCACCTTCTGCTCCATAGATCTGACAGTTCTTTACCTCCCTATCTTTACAGTGAAGCCTCAGCCACCCATTGCAGTTCCTGGCTGCAGACTTCTGTGGACAAACTTATTGGCGTGAGTGTAAAGCCATGCCGTCGGCGATCTGACGGCCAATCTGAAGCATCTTCTTCCAGAGGAGGGAGCGACAGGCTCCGACCATGTGCCTGGAGACAGAGAGACAACAGATGGGGAGAGAGTAGTCCACAGAAAAAGAACAAGGTCTTACAGCTGAGCCAAAGGTTACCATAGTGATTGATTAGTTATTGTGCCATGTGGATCAGTTCAACGCAAAAGTAATGGAAGGTAAAATACAACCTTTAGTTTAACTTACTCCCAAGTATATAAGTTTAAATGATAATCCTGATATTAATGCCACTAATTTACAGCCTAACTGGAAATAAGTCTCAATCTGCAGGTTCAAGCTTTAAGAACTTGTTTCTTGGGCAACAGCTGGAAGGTAAATTTAAGTCCGCAGAAAAAGTACAAACTTGTGTCAATTACTAAATCATCAACAATCAAAATCAAGCAGTTATCCAGTATCCATGTCCACAGAAAGGGACCTGGTGGGAAGGAGTCGTGCAGGTAATTAGGTCCAGACGGTACCTCTTTCGGTCGGAGAAGAGCGTAAGTACTCTCAGGTCTTCCCCGAGTCATTAGCTCCCATGATGAACAGGGTGGTTGGCCCTGATAAAACCACTCCCCCAGGAGACGAACCTGCAACCAAACACAGCGATGCCAACCCATCACCATGACACAAGAACTGACTGAAACTGTACAATGTAGAACACACACTGTGCTGTATGATCTTAATGTGTGTGTGGTGTGTGTGTGGTGTGGTGTGTGTGCGTAGTGTACATAAGCCAACGTGTGGTGACAGTTGAAAACTCCCTTCATGACAGAGGGCTTCATTGAGAAAACTCTATTCTGCTCCCTCATGCTGGCCGACGCTCGTTGACGGTCTTAATGGCGGACGCGGGTCTCGGTTCATCTTTGACCACGCCCTTTGCCAAGCCCTCGTACACCATGCCAAAGGACCCCTGCCCGAGCTCACCGCACTCAGGGAGATCTTCTCCCGTGCCACCTCCCACTCATCTGTAATACACTGCACAGAAAAAGAAAGGTGTTAAAAAAGACCCTGCCATAGATGTTTTCAGTTATTCTGACAACAATAAAAAATGTGCACGTACATTTCTCACCATACCATTTCACTCACTTTCTGCAGCGCTGAAGTACTATGGATTGACGGAGGCGTACAGGATTCCATTTCCCAAGCCGTCGCTGTTCCTGACCGAAACCAAAACAAAAGTGTTTAACAGGCACACTTGCACATACCGCACATAACCCGCACACACACACACACCACATACTTGGGAGTGCATGGTGTATAATCATACAATTTCACAGTTTTTGAGCATCCAAAGACCATTGGCAAAATGCCTGTATTTCCTTAACATTCATTGTCAAAAATTTTTAAGTATTTAAAATCACACAGAAATAATGATTTTTCTGACAATCTTAAGTTTCTTTCAAAGATAAAAAATATTTTGAACAACAGATACTAAATATTATGAAGGTACAAAACCCCCCCACAAACACATAGAGAATGCCAATGACAAAATAGAATTCTAAACTTCATTTGTCACCTAGTTTTACAGACTATGAATTGGTAAAAAGCAATTTTGCTTTGGTCGGTTTGTTGGTTCCATGGTTTGTCCATTAATAACACAAGATCCTAATGTGAGCACACTGACCATTAGCAACTAGTTGAAAACATTTATCTAGTGGAGAGAGAGAATACTCTGCTCATCATCATGAAGTGCCACGAGAGTATGTCCTGTAATTCTCAATCTAATCTTCATATATTTTTCCCAAGGAAGCATACACAACATTAAGTACAGAGGTCTTTATTGATGAAAAAAGTAATAACTGAGACTAGTTTGTATAACAGCTAAACAGAAACACACCACCTTTTCCTGTTGAGGACCACCAGCATCGCGACTAAAAGGCAGAATGAAGAGGATATGGGCGATGGGAACAAAGATCATAGCGTAGAGGACGTTTTCATATCTGTCGGGTAAAACACTTTGGTTACCTTTAATTATTACAGTGAGACATTATTTCTGCCTGTGACAAAAATAGGTGTAGAGATTACAGTGGAAAGTAGTGATGGACTTTGATTATGCATGTGTGAGATGAGTGTGTGTGTTCTTACGTTCAGCCACATAGAAATCCAGAAGTGGGTTGTCCAGGAGCCGTTGCCCAGCCAGTGATGTGGCTCTGACTCTGACCGATTATTTCCTTGGACTGAGGTTGGACAGACGAACGCCTTGCTGGTCTGATACCAACTGATGCAGACACACAATTCGTGCTTCTCGGTCTGAGACACACACACACGTACACAAAACACACACAAGAAAGAAAAGAAAAAAGCTTCATCATAGACCTGAATTTTAACATTTTTTAAATTCAAAAACTGAATTTAAGACCTGCTGTTTCTCATCTTCACTGTGCAAACAAACAGACAGGATTTTCAGAATCAGCCTCGGCCTTGCTCATGATTATAAATAAAGGGGTCACTATGTCGATGTTACTTACTATAATCAGTTGACCTGGATTTAATTTAGATCTTATAACCTAACAAATCCGAGGAGCAACAGACCTAATTCAGTCAATGAAGCCAAAGTATGCAATGTATAGTTTGCATATAGGATAAGGTATAACTAAATGACAGAGGGGGCCAACAACCAGCATTTCCAGATGT